GAGGGGTGGTGAATAAAATAGGGATGATGACATGCTAAGAGAAAATGTGTCATGTGAGTCACACTAATGGAAATTCAAGATTTTTTGAAATATTGCCTTGTAGAATTAAGAACTTAAAACTTGTATACTATTAAATTATGGATTATTAGCTAAAATTTTATGCTATTCTAATTAGTATAACTTAAACAAAAAGTAGTTTAAAAAATTTCGAATGTAAGACACTAAAATCTTGTGTCATGCACAGTAAAGGGTACCCGGGGTGATAGGGTTAATATTTACCCTAAAATCTTACTTATAAATAAAATAGTCTATAGTTATACTTCACATGAAAATTGATGATATAAATAGTACCTAGACCACTACTAGATATCTTAGCTGACTTAATGAGCCCTGGATTTGGACAAAAAGGGTCTCAAGGGTATGGGATGTGGCAGATATAGTCTAATTGACATATGGCATATTCTTCTTTACTGTCACTCATAAGTTTTTAGAATACGTCAGTACCATGTAATATGTGTTAAGTTGTCAACATGAGAGTGCTTTAATATGGAAATGTGTGTCTATTTTTAGTCTTAGTGTGTTGTATTTCACAAGTATACAGTTTATTGACATCAGAGTGTTTCTACATATAACTGTGTGTAAATTTTACATCCAGGACATTGTTTATTAAATATAACTGTATGGTAGTTCTGTATTCAAAATAGTATTAATATCTGTAGCTGTGTGGGAATGCCATATCCAGGGTAGGGTATCCTGGATATAATAATACCAAACAGCTACAAGTAATAATAGTATCCTGGATATAACATTCACACATAGCTACAGGTAATAATACTATCCTGGATATAACATTCACACATAGCTACAGGTTATAATAGTATCCTGGATATAATAATACCAAACAGCTACAAGTAATAATAGTATCCTGGATATAACATTCACACATAGCTACAGGTAATAATACTATCCTGGATATAACATTCACACATAGCTACAGGTTATAATATATTATTACATGTAGCTATGTGGTATTATTATATCCAGGATAGTATTATTATCTGTAGCTGTGTGGTATTATTATATCCAAGATACTATTATTACTTGTAGCTGTGTGGTAGTATTATATCCAGGATACTGTTATTACTTGTAGCTGTTTGGTAGTGTTATATCCAGGATACTATTATTACATGTAGCTGTGTGTCAGTTCCATATCATGAGCACTATTTATATGTTGTTTTTAATAATTGAGTAAAATATCTACACAGTGGTGTTAAAATTGTATAATTAAGACATTATTAGTTTATTGGGCTGTGTATATTGTATAAGTAAGGCATTATGTCAATACCTACAGAGTTGCATATATGTTCTATAAACACAGCATTATTAGTACATGGAATTGTGTATTAGTTATATAAGCAGGAATGTTTGTTTACAATTTAAACAGTTTTTAGTTATTGTAATTGAACAGGCTCCTTTCATCTAGTTATGGTTTTAGTTAAATTTAAACAGTTTTTAGTTACAGTTGTAATTGAACAGGCTCCTTTCATCTAGTGATGGTTATAGTTAAATTCAAACAGTTTTTAGTTACAGTTGTAATTGAACAAGCTCCTTTCACCTAGTGATGGTTTTAGCTAAATTTAAACAGTTTTTAGTTACAGTTGTAATTGAACAAGCTCCTTTCACCTAGTGATGGTTTTAGCTAAATGTTGTAAATATTGTTCTTCCATTAGTTTCTTTACTCTCTTTGTTGCAGAACAAAATACAAAACAAGAGAAACTGAAACATTTCAAGAAGCTTGTACGTTCTCTTCCTCGACCAAACTATTCAACCCTAAAATTCCTCTTCAGTCACTTGCTCAAGTAAGTTTTAGCACATACAAGTTAATTTTCTATAGAAATCTCATCTGTTTTAACACAATTTACTGTGGAAATATAATGTCTTAATTTATTCTTTTGGAATTTCGATTACTTTTTGCTAACATGCATCAGTTTTTTGGTGTTTTTTTTTAAACAAAATGTATCATTAAAAATGGTATAGAGGTTTTTTTTCCCAAATGCTTTGTAAACCCTGAAAATATGGCATATTATTATTATTCGTAAAATATTTTTAAGGATTTACAGGTTACAAGAAATATTTTGTTTTGTTGTTGATAATTAGTTTGTTTTTTTGGTAAGTACAAGCTATTGAACTGTTCTTGAGTGATCACACTCTTTTTGAATTTTGGGCTTTTATGGGTTTGTTTGGGTATTTTGCACTGCACATTTCTGTTTGCTGTGCAAAATTTTCCTGTTTGAAAAATTTTGTTTGATTCACAAAGTTTATGTTTCTTCCTTTTGTTCTTTTGGCCATTTTCACTTCATTGTATCCTCTTTTAAAACTTCTTGTCTTATTTACTCCTGGCTTCAGATCATCATTATTATCTTATATCTTGTTGATTCTTTCTGCCCATTGTTTGGAGTGAGTCTTTTTATTTTTCTCTAAAAACATTGAATTGTCTGTGAAGATGATGATTGAATTTTTTCTCAATATGGCTTGTTGTTATCAGTTCAGTTGACTCACTCTTACACAAACTTGTTATTTTTCTCGGTCTCAATGATACAGAATCTTTCTGAGTCATTGCAGGTGAGTTCCATTGCATGCCATTTTTCCAGTTAACACTTTTTCTATGGACATCTTTTTCTGCACATGTCACAAGATTTTAGTGAGTTACATTCAAAATTTAATAAAAATACTTTGTTATCATGGTATATGAATAAACATGGTGCCAAAACATAGCTACTTATTCAAATTTTAATGTTATATAAGTTTTATAAGGCAATATTAAAAAAAACAATCCCCAATTTCCCCTATTGTGACATTTGCTCTCTAGGTATTCTCTCTTTCACTTATTTACCACCCCTCTGAGAAGTATGAAATTTAATGTAAGTTATAATGTTGTCATCACTCAGGTAAAGCATAATTATTATAGCCTTCAACCTTATTTTGTTACATAGCCATAAACTAGAAAATCAGACCTCTCTTGCAATGCCCACCTGTCACATCCTCTCTTTTACAAATTGCCAATAGTTCACTTTGATGTTTAATAATATGTTACTTATAACCAATAGAAAGCCAAGGTTTTAATCTATCAAATGGCATATTATATCACATTGTTTTTTGTACAGAGAAGTGTCTAACTTGCTTCCAGTTCAAACTTTATTCCCATGAGATACATATCAGTGAGCTTAGCTGAATTTTTATTGGCTCTTAACACATAGTTAGAAAGTCAGAAAATTTGAGATACTTATATGACATTGTCTGCTTTTTGCATGTTATTATTCTGTGTTCTTTGATGCATGTGTAAGCTTGAGGAATTTTGTTAAGATACACTAAAGTATTAGAAGGTCAGTTTGTGGTCATAAACTTGGCCGAGCTCATAGTGAGAGAGTTGATGTGATTCTACTCTTGTAATTTTGCCTAATATGTTAAAACTGTTTCTTTAGTGGGCTTATCACTGACTTGTGTGATGACCTTTGTCAAGAGTTACAGTTTAGGTTTTTTCAGTATTAACGTTTTGTAATGTACTTATTGGCAGTAGATAGATGTCTGTAGGAAGATGTTAAAAATCCCCATATGTGACTGACATTCCACATTTTAATATTGCATCTGTTGTCTTTATCATATTGCTGTTTGTCAGTCTCTAAGCTCAAACTGCTTCTGTAGTGGTTATGCAGTCCTTTTGGAAATCTAAAATGTGATAATAGAGAGAGATATCTTTGATGTGCCATTGTGTTTTGTTTGATTACACATTCAATCACCATTTCTTGCCATATCAACCACAAAGATGATGTTTAACACTGCTCCCTCTAGTAATTTCCTGGTTATGTAGATTCTCAGTGTTTACCAAATACTAGAGAACCATTTGTTATGTATATATTTTAAAGATAAAAATCTATTTTTTAAATGAGTTTATTATGAAGTACCTGTTGCACTTTCCTTTTGTAGAAGAACCTATGGACTCTTCAGATTTTGGGACCTTCTACTGCTCCACTTCTGTGTGTTTTGTTTTCACATTACAGTCATCTAGTGGTGAAAATACCACTGCTTACTAGGCCTTTAAGCCTAAAGGCACATTTGTTAGGATTGAGTTGATAATTCACCTGTGTTAACCAAACCTTGAGTAACTGTCACCTACCACATTCCCATTCTTACTGTTGAGCATTTTACTCTGTTAGGCATAGTCAAATTTAATTTGGATATTTTACTGTTTGAGAAAGATGTATGTTTTTTTGTTCTCACCCTTTTAATGTAGGGATTCTGGCTCATCTTATATCTCTAAATTTAACATATTTAGTATCAAGGCCTAATGAAATGTATGTGTAGACAAACATCATAGAACTGTTGGCTACATGAGTAATCTCATATATGAGTTAATATAATAAATGACAGATCTAGTTTTAATATAATCTCATGTAGAAGTGTCTAAAAATTATTAATTTCTGTAGCTAAATGATTGTAAAGGACACCTGTTGGTGTAAAATTTTCTATTTCACAGGTATAATTGGTTCAATTTCTTCTTTTCTGGCTAGGACCACTAAAGCTAGTGAACAGAACAGAATGCATGTACAGAACTTAGCCATAGTATTTGGACCAACATTGATGTGGTCTGAGAAGGAGTCTTCCAACATTGCTCTAGACTTCATGCAACAGAATTTAGTGATTGAGTTTCTACTCTTGGAGTTCGATGAAGTGTTTGGATAGTTTTATTTTCAATTCATGTTGGCTAGTTAGTTGCTCATACTTCCATGTTATGCAGGTGTAACCAAGCCTTTAGCTCGATGTTTGTGCAACAGATTTAACTGTTGCAACAGTATTATGCTTGTGGTATGTAAATATTTGCTTTTCAAGCTGAATGATGACTGGTTTTGATAACTGTGGTGGAAACAGTGATATATGCAGCTAATATTGCATGTTTGGCTTTGTTATTTGTGAAGATGGTTTGAATGATTACACCAGTTTGGCTTTGTTATTTGTGAAGATGGTTTGAATGATTACACCAGTTTGGCTTTGTTATTTGTGAAGATGGTTTGAATGATTACACCAGTTTGAGTGACACATGTGAAATGTGTATATATATTCATGAAAATATTTTAGTTCAACCATGTAGGTCTTGCATGTTTTCTACCAATGCTATCAGTCCACTAAGAGAACTTAATACAAACTATTAAATTATCTTGTGCCTTTGTAAGTTTGAAATAGTAATTTTCAGTATTTCGTGGAAAACATTATACAAAAATTGGTATTTGATAATTCTAGCATTATTTTTATATAATAATATTACACCATTCCAGTTTGTGATTAAGGAGTAAAAAAGTGAGAGTTTGAAAACATTCCATTTTGCTGTATATTTGTTTTTATGTAAATCCTTAGTTTAAAATAACCAAATTAAAAAACCTTGTATTTTAATGAATCTTTAATATATAATTAACTGAGTGATTCCAGTAATAAGTCCATGATTTAGTGCCTTTATAAAGTTGTTTAGTTTCGGTTTAGAAAAATTGTACATAACACTGTTTAACAATTTTTATAAAATATATATATATATATGTATTAAAAATGTATAGATTATTCAGAGTCAAATAAAAACAGTATTTTCAAACATATACACAGCTACTATAAATTGAAAAAAATTGATAAGTAGTTTAGCAAAAAGTTCCTTTTTTTTAAGCAAAAAAAGTAAAGAAAAATTAAGTGTTTGATTTTCCTAAAGTTTATAAGAGAAGCTGATTTTAAAAACAATATTTTTTGGTTTACATGTGTTCGTTAGTCTGTATGTTGAATACTAGTTATCTAGTGGTGGCAAAAGTAAATAAATCCAAAATAATCCACTTAAAATATTCAAGGTACAATTTACATAACTGAAATATTTGCAAAATGCCAAGTACTTTACAGGTGTAGATTAATTGGAACATTTAATAGCAGTATTCTTAAAACTTGCAGTTGAAAAGAACATTTCTTTTGCTGTTAATAGCCTTTTGGTTTGGATGAAAAACATTTGTGAAAATTTAACATAAATCTAGCCTCCCGGTGAAATCTGTAAAAAACCTGTATTTTGTTCCTATCATTTATTTTTGCTTAATATAGGCCTAAAAAACCTGTAACTTTGAAAGTAACCCTACATTTTAACCAGAAATACAATTATCAAAACTGTAGTTGTGATATTACCATAATTATCCAATACAGATCTGTGGAAATATAATGATTTTGTTGCATTCTTGATGTGGTTGGATAATTCAGACTTCTTTATCAGAACTGACATGGTAAAATCTTTGTCATCACACACAGAGTGATGGATTTCTCCATGGGAAATTTTACAGATAGGTATAGAAATTCACATTTATTATTAGCCAAATATAAATATATATTAACATTTTAAAAAATATTTATTTTTGTAATGGCCCACTGGGAGGCTTGGTAAATGAATTTTTAGTTTTATAGAAGTCATAAGATATAAAAAAGAAAATGATTGTTTTGGTTGAGGCTTAGATTTTATCAATAAGAAGTAAACATTTCCTAAAAAAAGCACGTAACATTTCAGCAAATAAGTAACAGTGCCAATATTTTGAGAAGCAGTCGATTTTTGGTCAAATAATTAAGTATTAAAATAGTTAATTCACAGTAAATGCAAAGATACTAATACTTTTGGCTTTATCTTTCGTGTAAAAAATGAGATTTATGTTGTATCTTCAGGACAATGGAAGTTAAATATACAAGTTGTTCATCAAAGTTTTGTATGCATTCAGTTTCTAAAAGGATAAATATTTATTGTTTTGCAAGTACTTGACACATCTCTTTATACTTGGCATTATGAAGCACTTCCCAGAAAAATAAATAAATTATTCTTACTAATACTATGTATTATTTTTTTTCTACTTCTGTCATGTGCAGCTAGTCCAGCAGCTGTACCAAACAATTGTATACTTGGTGTTAGAATGAGGCCAATAAAGTGATTTAAGTTTTTTTTACAAATAAATAAATGAAATATTTAAATTTATTGTGCTCGTACTGATTGAATATATTTCAAAGTTGATCCTACCATCATATAATTAGTTGTTAGGCTAATTGGCCATAAAGAAATTTACAAAAAGATATCTTGTATTTTTTATTTATGTAAATGATTAACTTGATAGTTAGCCTTTACTTCAGTGATTAACTTTGATGATTTGTGTTACTGTTGTTTCACTAAAACTTTTGAACCATGATCCACATTAAAGTTTTAACTTTTTACTGCAGTAACAATATGTTTATTTGGAAGTACCATGTTTTGTAAATGTGTCACGTAACCCTGCGATGTGAATAATTGTTTTTCAGAAACCATTATTCCATACAGTAAGCTGTAAAAATTGTGTATTAAATAGATGCTGAAAGATTAGTAAGTATGAAGTAACAGCTCAAGTTCACTACCTGGTATTACTGGAACAGTTTTGAACGTTAAGCTATATAATGTTTGCACGTATGTTATTATGGGTTCGGAAATATCCATGTTTCAAAACCTGCGTTTAACCTACTAGGGTCATTATATGTTGCTGTAATTAGAATGATAATGTAAATAAAAGGTTAGAAGCTGTACAAAAAAACATTTTAAAGATAAACATGGCAAAAGGTATTAAGTATCGGACTATCATGTAACAAAATGTAAACCATATGCATTCATTAAAATTACTAGAGAATTTTAAGATAAATTATTCATTCCTAGAAGACATAGTACAGAATTAAAGTAGTTGAAGATCTCAAGGTTGAAAGTGTACTACAGTATTATTAGATGAAGTTCTTTTAGCTTTAGGTTCGTAAGAAGAACTTATTACTTTAGATAGTTTAAGCCAAAGACTTCTGATAAAAACTGTAATTAGTTCTTTCACTTTGGTTTTTGAAAGACAAGCTTCCAGTGCAAGAAATAACATTAACTTCTTCAAACCAAAGATATTTACTTGTACAATAGAAGTTTAAATAGTTTTGTTGTTGGATATTCTAGGTGTGTGTTATTCATCAGGAGAAACAGTTTCCAAACTTAAAAAATATTTTGATGTGAGACCTGATGAAGGTTGTTTATTTTGAATATTGCTATGAAGCAAAACTTTTTTTTTTTTCGTTGTGAAGATGTTTTAGCTGTTTCACACCGTTCAGTACTTATTGAAGGTCAGCAACTATGGTATCTGAATTGTTTATAAAAATATTTGTTGAAAAAAAAGTTGTGTTTTAGCTAGCACATTTTTTTTTGTTTCATACCCAAGAATATTGTAGCATGAAAAGTACAGTACCTTGGATTTATTTTTGTTTCTAATTTGTAATTAAATATGTGTGTTATAAATGAAGATATTTTTCTAAATTTTGTCTTAAGTCACGTTATTGTAATAATCAAAATACAGAAATGCATTTTGATGTCGAAGTATGTTTGTTTGTTTTTCAAAGATAAAGACAGTTTATTTACCATTTGCTAATTATTGATGTTGATAAAATAAAATATTAAATAAAAAATTCTTGTTTGTGTGACTAATAATACCTGTATTAAAATTCAGAAATATATTTAGGCTTACATACTCATACAAGATGATGCAACCTACACAGTTTTCTCAAAATAATAAAAAGTTATTTTATTGGGTTTTATGGTTTGGCGATCCTGAACATTACTAAATGAAATTTTAGTGACCATTAGTTTATATATTTATTGTTTGTTTTGTTTTAATATATTTTTATTTTTGCCAATAATGAACTATAGGCAAATGTATGTTTTGCATAATGAACACACTGACCTATACTGAGAACATTAATGAACTTCTGGAGCTTCGTGAACTGTCGTATGATGTTGAAAATAGTCCAACAGGTATATGCAATGAACGAATGATTAACATTAGAAGTTAGACTAAATTATCTTTAACTAGAGAACAAAGTATGTATATGATGAGCATATAGTATAGTGGCAAATAAAATTATTCAGAACTAGCCTAAACTCAATCATGGTTATTAACAGTTAATTTTGACTTGGTGTTCAGTTTAATTAAACACAAATCTAAGTTTAATAATGCATATATATCCAATTAATGTTTATTAAAAACTGAAGTTTTAAAAACAGGTTAAATATCATATGCCAACCAGCCTCACTAAGGTAAAACAGATCAATTACTTGAATTATAAAAATACACCTTTGGCACTTTAACTTGGTGTTTACATTTTGGATTTCCAGGAAGTTTTTTTCAATGATATCAAATAAAAATTGTTTAACCTTTCTAACTGTTATAATCTTTTCATTTGGCCTTTTATAAAAATTTAAAAAATGACAAAAAGTGAAACTGCAATAATATCATAGCTACACCTACAGTTGTTAAGCTCACTATATTACCTTCTATTTACAGACTTCTTTTATCATGCCAATCCAGAAGCACCCTTCATCTGATAACTTTAAAAAGATTAGTTGATAATATAGTTTTAACAGTGATGTTTACTCTTGTGTAATTTCCAGTTTAAGTAAGGAAACCAACAAGCTGTTTGAAGACTTGTGAAATAAATTCTCCTGAACTTAGAAAGGTGATTCTAAAAATTAATATTTTTGGAAACAGCACCTTTAATTGAGTTTTTAACATGTGGCACTTATTTTGACTTTGGTATTCTCAGAGTAACTGATTTACTGTAATAACTGTATTACCTGTAAGAGAACAAGAAAGAAACAGAGATGGTTGGAACAAAACCAACTCAATGGTCTTCTGGATCACATGTTTATGCCAAACTGTATAAAAACAGGCTAAGTGAAAAAAAATTCAAAATTCCTATATTAATAAAGACACACAATATGTCCACACATCATACCAATAATTACACTTCGAAAATGAACATTTAACCAATGACGTGAGTGCTCATAAGGAGGAGAAATGTTATATCTGTATCTGTATTAACAACTTTTATTTGTTATATAATAGCTATAAGAAGCATTACAGCTGTTGTAAGATGAAATTGGCAATACAAATTTTGAAAGCATTCCTTAAATTAAAAATGAAAGGAACAAAGTTATTAAATCCCTACCTGGTTTTTAAAGCTAAAGAGAACAAATTTCCTAATCATACAATTCTAAAGATATACACAATTTTCTCGAACATTAACGTTCTTTCCTTCATATTATTATATATATATATATGGTTATTGTTAAGTTTCTAAAGTAACATCTTCCTTTTCAAATTAATATTTCTTTCTAAAGTATACTGTATCTCCTTTTTGTAATAGTAAATACCTCTGCATTCAGAAAGAAAAATAGAAATAGTTAACCTTATTTTTTTTAGCTAGAAAAATGGGACGAAATTGTATCACTGTTAATATAATTATGGTAACATGAGTGGTTATACTATTCTCACTAGCAAAGAACAAGAAAGGAATTGTCATTGTTATTAGAAATCGGAAACAAAGATTAAATAATGTATGATTATGGTTTTTTATAGCATCAAGAAAGGTTTGAAGTTAAGCACAAAGCTACACAATGGGCTATCTGTAGTCTGCCCACCACGGGTATTGAAACCAATTTCTAGCATTATAAGTCTGCAGACATACCACTGGGGGGCATCAAGAAAGGAGGTTGATTTATAATTTTTAAAAGTTAAGCAACAGGAGAAGCAGTTGGTGTATCACTATATTGAACATTATTACTAAGAGTAAATGGTAGTTGATTTATGATTTTTAAAAGTTAAGCAACAGGAGAGGCAGTTGGTGTATCACTATATTGAACATTACTAAGAGTAAATGGTAGTTGATTTATAATTTTTAAAAGTTAAGCAACAGGAGAGGCAGTTGGTGTATCACTATATTGAACATTACTAAGAGTAAATGGTAGTTGATTTATAATTTTTAAAAGTTAAGCAACAGGAGAGGCAGTTGGTGTATCACTATATTGAACATTATTACTAAGAGTAAATCGTAGTTGATTTATAATTTTTCAAAGTTAAGCAACAGGAGAGGCAGTTGGTGTATCACTATATTGAACATTACTAAGAGTAAATGGTAGTTGATTTATAATTTTTAAAAGTTAAGCAACAGGAGAGGCAGTTGGTGTATCACTATATTGAACATTACTAAGAGTAAATGGTAGTTGATTTATGATTTTTAACAGTTATTATAGGAGAATGTGTGAAAGTTCATTATTCATCGTAAGTAGCTCTAGTTATCAAAGAGAAAGTTGGTGAATTATTGCCACAGAAAAAAATGAGGTGGATGTTAGTTAGTTGCTATAAGGAACTAAAAAAAAGCAAATTACTGTATCATTGTAGTTAGCAGGAGAATTTTTAAATCATTATTTATAGATGTAAGAACAGAATGAGGAGAGTACTATTTTATATTTAGTAGCTGTAAGAATAGATCCAAGTAACTTCTGAAGTATGCAACTATTAAATATCTTATTCCCCCATAACATGTATTTCTTATTTACAAAAATCCTTAAATTTTTTCAAGTTCTAATTCTTGAACAATCTAAACTCGGTTGAGATTGTATACAAAGTTAAGTCTGAGGTGTTACTTTTTGTAGCTTGATTTAGTCAAGAAACCTACTTACTGTTCCATAGGATACTTTCATTACATCCTTCTTGACTTTGTGATTGTCATATGAAGTAGAAATACTTATGTATTTTGGAGACTCCTTTTTTTCTGATTGGTCAGTTACAGAGAAAGAGAATGGGGTTTGCATGCAGTTTTGGTGTTTTTAGACTCGAACTCACTCTAATCTTTGAGAAGTTCAGTTTATCTTTTGGAGAGAGATAAAACTCAACATGAAGTCCCGTTCCTGTTTCACCATATTTCTATCAGATGATTGTGCATATGCTCTGGTTTAATGTTTGCTTTAATCTACTCTAATTTTAGATACAATTTCTTTAATTTTCTTTTAGTAGTCTTTTTTTTTTCTTCTCACTTTCCAACACAAAGTCCTACCACCAAAGATGATCAGCCATACTGTATTTACCTTTTAAATAAAGCATTTTTATTTCCATTCAACTTCACACTATCTCTGCCTCTTTCATTTCACATGCAAGAAGCAATGTCCTGTCTTTTTGCATATTAGATCCATAAATTTCTTGTTTTGTGCAGATTGAAAACCACTGTAAGCTAGGTGTATGCTTGAATTACCATACTTTGTGTCAGTTAGTAACTACAAGAACAGGTGTAGAAAATTACTGTTTGATATTTAATAGGTATAAGAATAGCAGAAAAAAAGTTATGTTTGGTATTTAGTAGCTATAAGAACAGGAGTTGAAAGAGATTTTCTGATATATCATAGCAATAGGAGTAAAAAGTTACTGTTCAATATATATATATATATATATATATATATATATATAGTAC